ATGCCTTTCTGTCTTTGTGTCCCAGCGCCGATGGCAACTACGAGGTGCGCTACAAGTCGAACGTGCTCATCTATCCGACGGGCGAGGTGCTCTGGGTTCCGCCGGCCATTTATCAGAGCTCGTGCACAATTGATGTCACCTACTTCCCCTTCGATCAGCAGACGTGCATCATGAAGTTCGGCTCCTGGACATTTAATGGGGATCAGGTCTCGCTGGCGCTGTACAACAACAAGAACTTTGTCGATCTGTCCGATTACTGGAAATCGGGCACCTGGGATATTATCGAAGTGCCCGCCTATCTCAACGTATACGAGGGCGACAGCAATCATCCAACCGAAACGGACATCACCTTTTACATTATCATACGACGCAAAACTCTATTCTACACAGTCAACTTGATTTTGCCCACGGTGCTGATCTCATTTCTCTGCGTGCTCGTCTTCTATCTGCCCGCCGAGGCTGGCGAAAAGGTGAGCTCAATTTGACACGGGTTCGTTTCAATTTTTATACCTTGAACCCACTGGAAATTGGGTAAGAAGAGTATATTGTTTTTGTTAATACGTATGTAACGGTCAGACTCTATAAATTATATATATTCTTGTATTCAATAGCTGAGTCGACCTATCGAATCATGTCTGTCCGTTTGTCTGTCTCTATGAAGGCAACTATCTCGAAGACTATAAAATCTGGAGACTGGAAGTTTGAAATATATATTCTCGTAAGCCCAAAGCTAAAAGAGATTCCCAGTCCTTTCGATATCTACTCCCTTTTTCGTAATATCGATAAATATCGATATTTGCACTTGGTGTTTTTAAGCGTAAAAAGCTGGAGACCTGAAGTTTCAGATATATATAAACGCAGAAGGAGACTCGTAGTCCAGGATTCTTTCCCCCATTTTCATAATATCGATAAATATCGATACTAACACTTGGTTTATTTAAGAGTAAAAAGCTGGATTCCTCGAGTTTGAGATATATATATTCTCGTAAGCCAAACGTAGACAGAGATTCTCAGTCGTTTCGATATCTACTCCTTTTTCATAATATCGATAAATATCGATACATAGACTCGTTTTTTATGCTTAACACGATGATTATTAGAGCTATTTGCATCAAACTTAGCATGTAGCTTCTCGTATTGAATAAATTTAAGCCCTGATCGGACTTCAAGCTCCGAGGTTACCCAAAACGAGATTTACCGTACATGGAAAGAAGAGAAGAATGGGAAGAATGTGTTTTATTTGTGAATGTATATAAAGAACGTTTCTAGCATGGTTCTTCTTAAAGATAGGTAGGCACAGGGTATCGGTCAGTCGGACACCGCCGACTAGAGCTCAGTTATTTGTTCAGCTTCTAAGCCGGTTCCATGCCGCAGGTCACGCTGGGCATTAGCATTCTGCTGTCACTGGTTGTGTTCCTGTTGCTCGTCTCGAAGATTCTGCCGCCGACATCGCTGGTGCTGCCGCTGATAGCCAAATATCTGCTCTTTACGTTCATTATGAACACGGTCTCCATTCTGGTCACGGTCATAATTATCAATTGGAACTTCCGTGGGCCGCGCACACATCGCATGCCCATGTGGATACGTTCCGTCTTCCTGCACTATCTGCCCGCCTTTCTGCTGATGAAGAGGCCGCGCAAGACACGCCTACGCTGGATGATGGAAATGCCCGGGATGAGCATGCCGGCGCATCCGCATCCCTCGTACGGCTCGCCGGCCGAGCTGCCCAAGCATATCAGCGCAATCGGCGGCAAGCAGTCCAAAATGGAGGTGATGGAGCTGTCGGATCTGCATCATCCCAACTGCAAGATCAATCGCAAGGTGAACAGCGGCGCCGAGCTGGGCCTGGGCGACGGCTGCCGTCGCGAGAGCGAATCCTCCGACTCCATATTATTATCGCCGGAGGCCAGCAAGGCCACCGAGGCGGTCGAGTTCATAGCCGAGCATCTGCGCAACGAGGATCTCTACATACAGGTGAGTTACTTTTTCAAGATACTTTCGCGGGGGATTATCTCAAGATTGACTTTTGACAGACTCGCGAGGATTGGAAGTACGTGGCCATGGTCATTGATCGCCTGCAGCTGTACATATTCTTTATTGTGACCACGGCCGGCACGATTGGCATTCTGATGGATGCGCCACATATCTTCGAGTATGTCGACCAGGATCGCATCATTGAGATCTATCGCGGCAAGTAGACGCGGACGCAGCGCATCGCGGCAACTAAAAGGTTAAACATTGCAACATTGCAACAATAAACGAACATAAATAATACGAAAACGAGTTAAGCGGATTTTTAGATTTCTGATAACAATAATTGGCACCTTCTAGGGCTAACGACAAAACAAGTTAATACAAAATAAACAAAATAAAAGAAAAAATTATCTCATTAAACGCTTCACATTTAGGCATAGAATTCATACAAAACCAAATCAAAAGCAAATTAATCAATTAAAAAAAGGCAGGCCATAAACATAAAAACAAACAAACTAGTGGAATTGTGAACAGATCTTTTATTTATTATATAATGTACGAGTAATTGACTAAATAATTAATAGAATTGTCTTAGTTTAAGCGCAATAAAAACTGATAACTGGACGGTTTTCGCAGCTTGTTATGTTAGACACTTAAGTAAAGCAATTTAAGATTGAAACCTAAACACAATTTGTAAATGCTTCACGCACAACAATAACAATGCAATGAAAACTTCAACTGAAAAATTCAAAACAAACGCAAAAACACACAACCAAAAACCTGTAGGCAATACACCAAAGCAAAGCCAAAAACACGAAAACTAATAAAAATGCAAAGTTAATTAATAAAAAAAACAAATATAAGCAACAAGTGTGTGGGAGTGCGACTGGGAGATACCCTGTTTTAAAGGACATATAAAATAACTACATACATTTTCTCAAGATAATTTTATTTACAAATTCCTTCAGTTTTATTTGTTCGTGTGGGGAAAGTGTCCCAAAGGTTGAAATATACTCGATCTGATCTTCTTCTTAATAATGTGTGTATCGATATTTATCGATTTTAATAAGTAAAGACACATAAAGAAGAAGCAGATTCCTCTTTATTTAATTCTAAATACGAAATCGTAGATACAGCTAGAGAAATCTTCGTTTTATAAACTCTTAATAACATGTTTGACTAACCTAAGCTACAAATCGATATTTATCGATGTTGCAGAAAACATAGCTTGTTCTTTGTGGTATGTATACGAAAGAGCTCCATGATGTTTGAAGTCTTTATCTTTTAAAGTACTCAATATATATTTCTTATAGAGACAGATATTCCAGCTTCTGCTTCTCACATACATATTAGCACATATATACCCCTTCTATAAACATTTGCCGAGCTTATAGGGTATTCGAAGAGAAACTGAATCGTCTCGACTGGAAACTGGCTCAGCGCAGTGTGCATTGCGCATACGCCGCGTAACCCGTAACCCGCAGCCCGCAGCCCGCAGCCCGCCTGGCTAATTGGCTTATTAATTAATTGGAATTGACATTTTATCTGCAAGCATTGTATTTATGGACCAGCTGGGCGGCTGTCAAGTCAAATGATTTTCCAATTGTTGCCACTGCCATAAATAACAGTAAATATACTCCACAGTAGGCAGCGGCCATTTTGACAAAAGCAACTCTTTTGGCACGATTTTGCTGTTAGCCACGATTTGTCATCGCCGCCAGCTTCAGTTATGATGATTTGCGAATGTCTAAAAATATGCAAATGCGCCAGGTATTTCGCACATTTATCAACCCACGCGCTGTCACTCAAATACATGTCCATGATTGAGCTTGGGCATACAAATATATACATTAAAGTTTGACTTGACAGAAGGAAGGGCTGGCGATCAATATACATTATGTTGGAGATAAGACGCTGAGAGTTTAACAGAAGTTTCCTTTCGGGTTGCAAGGGAGCAGTAAGAAGGGACTTTGGGAAATTCTGGCTTCAATTTGAGAAGAAGGATTTTCAAATGTTGTATGAAAACCTCATAGAACATCATCTTAAATCATACATTATACATCATACATTATATATCATACATCATACATCATACATCCTACATCATACGTCATACATTATACATCATACATCATACATCATACATCATACATCATACATAATACATCATACATCATACATCAATCATCATACATCAATCATCACACATCAATCATCATACATCATACATAACACATCATACATCATACGCCATACATCATACATCATACAATTGTGCTTTGGAAGCTTGAGGTAGGGAGCGTGTGAGGCTTAGGTGTTTAAGCGTCGGAAAAGAAAGTGAGAGGTCATCGGTTCAAAGGCAGTAACAATTTTTAATGTTTTTTTAATTTTTAACTCAAATGCAGCAACAATTTTTAATGCCTTTTTAATTTTTAATTAGGAATAAAGCAATAATAGTTAATTAAACAACAAACAAAACATATAAAATTAGTGACAGTTAACAACGGCCCAGGAGAGCGGCTTTTAATCGTTGCGAATTATAAGAATTTCTCGATCTGCAACAATATTAATTGGACTCGGTGAACGCCGGGTAATCTATTCTGGTAATATGATATAATATTTGCTTGATGAGCAGCTTGATAAGCACCTGGTTCCTGGTTAACACTTCTGCTAGCCAGGGCCAACCCGTTGTGTGGCATAAAAACCCTAAGCGCTTAAATACAAAAACTAACTGGTACGCGTTGTTATTGACTTACAATCGCCGTTGATTACCAAGCACAGCAACAACTACAACTACAACAACAACAACAATAACAGAAACAACAACAACAACGACTAACAAAGGTTGCAGCATCACGACGATGACTCCAACTGAGACTCTGAGTCTGAGCCAAAAACTCGTTGGCCCGACTCAAAAAAGCCGAGTCAAAAGCATTTGGCATCTATTGAGCTGAGCTGAGCTGAGCTCCGGCTTAGGGGCTGCTGCTGCTGCTGCGGTATAAATTCGCCAAGGGAGAACATTTGGGCATCATTCGATTTTCTGATTTTGCAACGAAGACGTCGCTGGCTTCGCTTGCTCCCACTCCCAGTCTCGAGTTTCGTGTGTGTTCGCCAAACCGGTAAAAATAATTTTTCGTGTGCTCTCGTCGTGCATTTTCCACTTGTGCTGGGAAAAACTGTGTGTGAGAATTCGCGCTACGTTTCTGGGATCGTCGTTCGCTTGAGCCAGCATGGTGAGTTCGTCACAGGCATCTTCTCTCTCCAAATAAATCCCCCCCTTCCTCCCACCACCCCGTTTTGGACCTGATCATGTTATTGTGTTCCCCTTGCAGCGCCTATTACTGCCTCTGTTGGCGGCGGTGCTCGCTGCGGCCGGCGTCTTTGCGGATGTCTCGCATCTGGACACCGATCTGCAGGAGGATGGATATCATTATAAGCAGCCCTCGCAGCCGTTTCCACCGCCGCCCACGGGCAATGGCATCGAGGATAGCGGCCTGATACCTGGACCGGCTCCTTCGGCGCCGGCGCCTTCGTACGGACCGCCACAGACGCAGCCGCCGCCGCGACCACAGCCGCAGCCGCAGCCTCCGTCGCCGTCTTACGGGCCACCTCAGACGCAGCCGCCGCGACCTCAGCCGCAGCCGCAGTCTCCGTCGCCGTCTTACGGGCCACCACAGACGCAGCCGCCGCGACCTCAGCCACAGCCGCAGTCTCCGTCGCCGTCTTACGGGCCACCTCAGACGCAGCCACAGCCGATACCCACCGCACCCGGCCCGTCTTATGGACCGCCGCAAACGCAGCCACCGCGTCCGCAGCCCACGGCTCCTGCTCCCTCATACGGTCCGCCACAAACTCAACCGCCACGTCCACAGCCGCAGCCACAGCCACAGCCCACGGCTCCAGGTCCGTCCTATGGACCGCCGCAAACGCAACCACCGCGTCCGCAGCCACAGCCATCGGCTCCGGCTCCGTCTTATGGACCACCACAGACTCTGCCGCCGCCAGCCGGTCCGGAATACTTGCCGCCCGATCAGCCGCAGCAGCCCAAGCCACGCCCCGTGCCTCAACGTCCTACCCCGCCAGCACCACAGCCTTCGTATGGTCCACCACCAACGCAGCCACAGCCACAGCCACCACGTCCGCAGCCACCACGTCCGCAGCCACCTAGTCCTCCGGCACCGCGTCCACAGCAACCGCCCGCTGAGTACCTGCCGCCCTCTGGTCCTCCCGCACCACAGCCCTCGGCTCCGGCTCCGTCTTATGGACCACCACCGTCTGGACCACCACCAGCACCGCCCACCTATCAGCCACGCCCGCCAGCACCACCTGCACCACCAGCACCCACTCCCGGCTATGTGCCACCACCTGCACAGCCTACCTACCAGCCACGCCCACAACCACCAGCTGGCCCGCCAGCACCGCCCACATACCAGCCACGGCCACCGCAACCACCAGCTCCTCCGGCACCTACTCCAGGCTATGGTCCTCCTCCTTCTAGTCCACCCGCACCGCCCACCTACCAGCCGCGCCCACCGCAACCGCCAGCTCCTCCGGCACCGACTCCAGGCTATGGTCCTCCTCCTTCTAGACCACCCGCACCGCCCACCTACCAGCCGCGCCCGCCCGCACCACCGGGCCCACCCACCTCAAACTATCCAGAGCCACAACCGACGGATGCCGGCTCCTTGGGTCCCGATGGCTACAACTACAACAAGCCCTCCAATCCGTTTACCTACTAAACACAAAGTATTCTTAGCCTAAAAACATTCCAAAAACAATTCTGGAACAGTTGCTGCCAATCTCTCCCCCCCCTCCACCCCACATACCCGCCGGAGTTTTAGAGTACATTTTAAAGAAACCTTTGTAATGAAACGTTTCCAAATAAAGTAAAAGCAACACCAAAAACCAATTAAAAGCCACAATTGTGTCCACACTAGTTGACCTTCTCTCGCAGTTCTGACAGCCGTGTTGACGCGTTCAAGCTAAATTGCGAGGGTCATTCGAGCCGGGCAGCATCAAAAGCAGCAGCAGCATCAAAAGCAGCAGCAGCAACAGATGCCAGCTGAAAATATCAACGGTTCAAGTGCAGCCCGCCGGCAGCCGTTTGCAGTTGAAGCGGTGACCAGTTCAAATCCATGCGCGGGCAGGGGAAGTTGCCATTTAATAAACGATGCACAGGCGGAAATGCCGTGCGGTGCAGTGTGGCCAATTCTAGCTGTTTTCTAGCTTAATTTGGCTGTTTGCAAAGGTCGTCAGCCGGAAGCAGTTGCAATTCGATTTGTTGACAATTCAATGAGAAGCTCTGACAGTCCTCTTTATTTTAAACTGGAGCCTTGCCAGCGGCAGTTCGCCGGTTCAAATCCAGCAGCAATTCGCAATTGTTTATTTTAAATTTGTAATACTAGATTTGGCTACAGGCGCGTCTGTTTATTGTTTATCGAATGCTTAGTAAATCCATAAAATCCATAACTCGATGAATCCATAAATCCACAAATCGCACTCGACTGTGTGCTGCAACCTGAATTCGCCTTACTTGGACGCACTCAAGGTGTTTACACCTCCCTCCCTCCCTCCCTCGAGTCGAGCGATCGCAACCTGTCGACGACTCAATTCCCACAAGCTGTCGTCAGTTGGTTCATCAGTCATTTAGTCAATGTGTCAGCCGCGCTCAGTCAATAAATTTGCTGCCGTTGTTCATTAAGCAGCGCGTTTTGGGCGCCCAAAAAAATGAGAAGAAAATGCAATTGCAACTGCAACTGCAACCGGGTTGTGCAATGCTTTTTGCTGCCTGGGCCCTGCCACACACTAACACACTCACACACACACACACATAATTACATAAGCATTGGACATTCGGCCTTCGATTTGGCTACAGCTGGACACGGAGTTGAAGCTGGAGACGGAGCCGGAGCCGCTGCTGACGAAGACACGCGCCCTTCGTCGCGACCCACTGGATTGCTTTTGATTAACGTCTTAACGAGTGTCTCTCTCGGGTGTGATTTATGCTTTTTTTAAAACACCCTGCATCTATGGAAAATGTGTCTAAACAGGGTATAATGGACCCTAGGCAGAAGTTTCGATCGTAGAGACGATTTTAGCCAGCTCAAGCTCTTCAAAGATTCCCAAGCTTACTTGAAACCAATAAATATCGATTGTCATCTTTAGTTTTCACATATTTATTTATCATTTATAACATTTTACAAGTGTTTTTTGATAAACTTTATATTTTATTTCATATTTTTTGAAGCTTTCCAGAAAATTTTCATTTAATTTTAACACATTTTTCTTGAGATTATTTTTAACCATCGATAACTTTACTAACTTATCTTAAATTAATATATAAAATTTTACAAGTGAATTTTGATATAGTTTATTTGATATTTTTTGAGGCTTTCCAGTAAATGTTCATTTAATTTTAGTACATTTTCCTAGAGCTTATTTTAAACTATCGATAACTTTACTAGCTTACCTTAAATGAATATATATAGCTTTTAGGCTTCGGTTCTATTTTATCTACGTTTATCTAATAGATAATGCAAGGTTTCTTTAGCGTATTTCACACGATAGCATTTAAATCCATTTAATCTATTTAAATCGATAAATATCGATAAATATCGATATCCAGCGTTGACTCTTCGAGCACTGAAAACCAAAGAGATGGGACATTAAGCACAAGAGGAGGAGGGTTATATATATGTAAGTACTTACAGGCAAAGCTAGGTATCTTCTAGTCGAGCATGCTCGCTTGTTATTTTCACGTCTCTTTGTCTATTTGAGTTGGCTGCAGCTGCAGCTTGAGGCTGTCGCTGGTGGCAGCAGCTCGCCGCTGACTTTTTGCTTGATTTATGATTACGGCGTTTGAGATTTTTTCGGCATGTTAAAAGATTCGGCACGCATTGTGCTGATTAGTCGAGAGATTCATTGTCTGAACATTGCCTAGAACAAGTTCATTTAGTTCATTTAGCGCCTGGCTGACCTTGTCCAATTCTAAGTAACGACAATGGAATCTAAACCTACCTAACCTAACACTGCCCATCCGGGTGTAATTTCCCAAACAACTTATTAATATGCCGGAATAGTCAGAGAGCGGCAAATGGCAAGCGTCTAACACGCAAATGTAAATATTTTTGAACAGCACAAATAAATAACTAAGCAGAAAACAAAAAAGAATATTAATATTTCAAAAAAATAGTATTTCTTCTGTGGCTAAAATAAATTGTTACGCAGCCCGGCGGCGAAATGTTTTTTATCTTATCTGGCATATTAATCTCTCTCCTCTCTCTCTCTCTCTCTCTCTAACGCTGGCAGCTAATCAAATTTATTGTTAACTGACAAATTATAATTATGACTTAATCGGCAACAGATTCCATTCAAGAATCATTCGTCATGTTTTCTAATTACGCATACGCAATGTTGGCCCGCAGCTAACAAGACTGCGGCAGGGCAACGCCTCTTGTAAATCAATCAAAGGCGAAATTGCCCTTGGCACACAATTGTATTGCTGATTTCTACAATTTGGCTGCCCTGCCACAACAACAACAATAAAAAACCAAATGGAGGTGTGTACAGCAGCAGCAGAAACAACAACAATTACAGAAGCAGCTACGTTAGGAACGCACTTTACATTTTTTTAACATTTACACATTGCGTACGATGATTTGTGTAGACGGGCCGGACTTGAAAGATATATGAAATAGTCCGCTCATATGAACGGACAGCAGCAGCAGCAGCAGCAGCAGCAGCAGCAGCAGCAGCAGCAGCAGAAAAAATATGCTTCAGGCCCAACCACGCATGAAAATCACGTTAGCTCAATCATGATTGCGCCTAGCATTTGGATTGTGCTGGCGACACACAGTTGCTTAACTCAAGCCTAAAACTGTGCTTTGAGTATTAGGGCGAAGCTTTAACACAAACTGTTCTTTCTCACCTGCTGCATACCTTAAGTTGTCGAACAGGGTTCGTTTCCCAGCTGCTTGAAAGTTCAACTTTCGTGGAATAATCATATTGTTAGCAGAAAACTACAAAAATGTGATTAGGATATAAGAAAGAGTATATTAAAAGTTCTGCTAACTATCTTAATTGTACGTTCTTCAAAGTATGCAATGTGCAGCATCCCACTATCCGATGCAATTTCGCCTGTGAATTGCTTTTTTTGTACATGTTTAGGAAAATTTAATTATAATAATCATCAAAAATGGTTGATTTTACAAACGAATCGGTTTTTGGTAGTATAGTAGGGATCCCTACGAATTCAAAAAGGTATAACATTTCAAAATCTGACAGTATGAATACTGGGGATTTGGGAATTTTATACCATTTTGGACTCGTAAGGATCAGTACTATCGATTGGCATCAAAAAAATGAAAATCTAAATTTTGACCAAAATCAACAAAATGGCAAGGGGTTACATCACGTTTTTTCTCAAATTCGGGGTCGGTGCGAAAATCGAAACTTTTTTGATGATTTTTATTGAATATCTTGGGTAAATACTGTCAGATTTTGAAATGTTATACCTTTTTGAATTCGTAGGAATCCCTACTATAAATTGGCATTCAAACATTTCAAAAATCGATGCGTGAAAAAAAGTGGTTGACCAAAAACCGAATCGTTTGTAAAATCAACCTTTTTGATGATTTTTTGGAATATCTCGGCCAAATAATGTTCGATTTGGGAATTTCATACCATTTTGGACTCGTAAGGATCAGTACTATCGATTGGCATCAAAAAAATGAAAATCTAAATTTTGACCAAAATCAACAAAATGGCAAGGGGTTACATCACGTTTTTTCTCAAATTCGGGGACGGTGCGAAAATCGAAACTTTTTTGATGATTTTTATTGAATGTCTTTTTTAAATACTGTCAGATTTTGAAATGTTATACCTTTTTGAATTCGTAGGAATCCCTACTATAAATTGGCATTCAAACATTTTAAAAATCGATGCGTGAAAAAAAGTGGTTGACCAAAAACCGAATCGTTTGTAAAATCAACCTTTTTTGATGATTTTTTGGAATATCTCGGCCAAATAATGTTCGATTTGGGAATTTCATACCATTTTGGACTCGTAAGGATCAGTACTATCGATTGGCATCAAAAAAATGAAAATCTAAATTTTGACCAAAATCAACAAAATGGCAAGGGGTTACATCACGTTTTTTCTCAAATTCGGGGTCGGTGCGAAAATCGAAACTTTTTTGATGATTTTTATTGAATATCTTGGGTAAATACTGTCAGATTTTGAAATGTTATACCTTTTTGAATTCGTAGGAATCCCTACTATAAATTGGCATTCAAACATTTCAAAAATCGATGCGTGAAAAAAAATGGTTGACCAAAAACCGAATCGTTTGTAAAATCAACCTTTTTTGATGATTTTTTGGAATATCTCGGCCAAATAATGTTCGATTTGGGAATTTCATACCATTTTGGACTCGTAAGGATCAGTACTATCGATTGGCATCAAAAAAATGAAAATCTAAATTTTGACCAAAATCAACAAAATGGCAAGGGGTTACCATCACGTTTTTTCTCAAATTCGGGGTCGGTGCGAAAATCGAAACTTTTTTGATGATTTTTATTGAATATCTTGGGTAAATACTGTCAGATTTTGAAATGTTATACCTTTTTGAATTCGTAGGAATCCCTACTATAAATTGGCATTCAAACATTTTAAAAATCGATGCGTGAAAAAAAGTGGTTGACCAAAAACCGAATCGTTTGTAAAATCAACCTTTTTTGATGATTTTTTGGAATATCTCGGCCAAATAATGTTCGATTTGGGAATTTTATACCATTTTGGACTCGTAAGGATCAGTACTATCGATTGGCATCAAAAAAATGAAAATCTAAATTTTGACCAAAATCAACAAAATGGCAAGGGGTTACATCACGTTTTTTCTCAAATTCGGGGTCGGTG